CCTTGTCAATTTCTCCTCAAAACCACAAGGAAAAACTTCCCTTCAGAATCTCCTTAAAGGGAAATTTGACCAGTGTTAGGAGCTGAAGTATCTGGCTAAGCCCCAAAGTTTAAAATATAGAACATTTATTCAGCCACACATACTTGAGAATTTCCACTGACTAAGCTCAATTAAAGTCATAATTGAAAAAAAATGTTCTCTGAAAGGAGGTATTTTGTATTTCCTTACTCAATCCATTTTTGGTTTTGTTTCCTGGGGGCTACCAGAATCCTCCTATGGGCAGGAAACATTTGAAGGGCAGATCTTTCCTGCTGAGTTGTGTGGGAGAGCTGAGGAGGACTCTCACCTTTGAGATGTTGCTTGCTGCCTCTGTCACTTCTTTCTTGGGAAATTGGGGAAGAGTAGGGGAAATGAATAAACTAACTCAGGATAGTTACCTGCTTTCTGAACTTGCAATGTGGATGGACTTCTGCCTGTGTCCCCAGGTGCTAGCACCAATTGTTATGTCATCCACACTGTGTGACTTCATTTAGGCTCCAACTCATCTGGTCTTTTGAAATCCTCAAACTATGAAAAGTGGCTAGAGAAGCTAACTGTATCAGAAGAGGGGCTTGGGTTTGAATTGATCCATCATGAGAATTCTCAGTGGGTCACACTGGCCTGTATGACAAATGGTATTTGTTCTTAGAATTTCCATTTGAGACCATTCCTTCAGTTTAGAAGGTGGGATAGAGAAGAAATATTCTGAGATAATTTGATTTATTTCCTGACCAAACTTAAACTGTTCTTGTTTTAAGCCATAAAGGCATATGTTAATATTTCTGGAAGTCAAACTCAGCTAAATACAACCAAAGAACTAGGGCTAGGAAACACAGAGTCAATTAACTGCTATTTTATTCACTTAGTTTTTAAGTGGGGCATGACAATAAAATATCATGATTAACAACAAAATCCAATCAGCAAAACTGTATCTGCCTTTCTTAGTGACAGAATTGAGTACTTGCTAAATAGGCATTTTCTTCCACCTACAAGAAAGGAAGCAGTCTCCGTGATGTCACAGCACTTATGTCCCCATCAAGTTATGAGGGCACTGCCCCCTTGCTTTACACATACTTTTCAAGAGGATGGTTTACACTCACAGATTCAACTTCATTGACCCACTCAATTTACTGCAATTTGTCTTTTGCTTGAACTACTCCACCAGAAAGGATAAAAGTTCTCTAGGATCATAACATATGCTGACTAGAATCTCCCACAGCACTGTGTCATATTCTACAGGAAGTTCTTCTGGCCAGGCATATTCTTGAAATCTGTTTCATTACTTTCACTAAGTTAGACTCTCCTGAGTTCCCCCTTCCCCTTTCCCCTGCAGTTTTATTCTTAATCCACAGTTTCTCTAAACTCCATGGTGTTCTTTATGAACCACTTTACAATTACATGCTACAACCAGAAAATCTTTGGTGTTATCTGCCATGGCTCTACTAGTTTGCTGGAGTGTACCTGTGACCTACTGGAATCTTTGTCTGTGATTTCTAGCCATCTCAGTCCTGAATGAAGCTCTTTATCTTCTTCCTATATTCTCTCGGGGCATGGTGCTGCCATCCTCCTGTCATCTTAGGTTCTTTCACTTAGTCTCCACCCACCTCTATTTTTTTTTGCAGCTTCTCATGGATCTCCTTTATTAAATGACATCTCTTAGGCATATCATTATCCCTCCATTCTAGACTTAATATAACTACGTAAATTGCTTTATCAACCACAGTTGCCTCTGCCTCAGTGTGGTTCCCCCTTATCCTTTCTTTATATTAGTACAGAGTGATGTTTACTTTAAAATGTCTTATTGAATTATAAAAATACATGGTGCCAAAATTCTGGAAGAATTAAAAATATAGAATTTAAAATTACTTTCCAGCACAAGCTTAATATTTACATTTTCCCTCTAGAATTTTGTGTGCATATGTTAGCTACATATAAGGCAATATTTAGGCATTTGTGTAAATGTTTACATATAGCTTCAGAGTTACATAATATACTTAAGTAGAAAAGACCAACTTCATTGTGCATAATGATGGAAGTATTCCCATTTCTAGGTTCACTGATAATAAAAGACAAATTAAAGAGAAAAGCATATGTATTAGTTACTTCTATATTGCTGCAATAAAACATCATGGCCAAGGCAACTTATAGAGGGGAGGACTTACAGTTCCAGAGGGATAGGAGCGCATCACTATCATGGCAAACACAGACAGCAGGAGGGATGGCGACTGAAGAGGCAAGTTGAGACCTTACCTTGAGAAACCAAGCAGGAAACAGAAAGCAAACTCGAAATCACATGCAGCTCTTGAAACCTCAAAGTCTGCCCTCATTGACGTATTTCCTCTGTTAAGTGCACAAATCCCAAACCTACCCCCAAAGTGGTATTAAATGGAAACCAAGGATTCAAACATTGGAGCTTATGGGGGACATTTTTGTAGGGAGACACCGTAAGGACTGGCTACACGTGTACCCGACCACGCCTGTCACGGTGTAGTCAAGGTGATGTCAGGGTGATGTGGGAGAGGTTTTTAAGGGACAGACAAGGCACATGGGAGCTCTCTCTTGCCTTGCCTTGCTGCTTTGGCACACTCTGGCTTGCTGTTGGTTGACATTTATCTGTTAAAAGTTATCCTAACCTTACCGACTACCGAATCAGTTATTCACTGCATTACATTCTCATAAAAACCACTACAGCAGCTGGGCGGTTGTGCCATCCATCTTTAATCCCAGCACTTGGGAGGCAGACGCAGGTGGATCTCTGTGAGTTCAAGGTCTACAAAGTGAGTTCCAGGACACCAAGACTGTTACAGAGAAAGCCTGTCTCAACCACCTCACCCAATCCAAAACCCCAAATTACAGCAAACCACTACAGCATACAAATTTATTTTTTACTTGACATGGAAATGTCACAAAGTCTCAAAAAGTTAAAAAAAAATTTTTTTACCTAGGTTTGTTGAAGAATGTGAGTTGTGAATTACGACTGGACAGGGAGTAAGATGTTAGGGGTAGGAAAACAGAAGACATGTGGCAGGAAGCCATGGTTATCCATAGTCTTCTAGCCTCCTAGGTGTTTTCCTTAGTATACTGAGACTTTCAAAATCAATAAAATATTACCTGAAAAGTGGCTGTGAATAATGGCTAAAAAAAAACCTTTTAGATGGCGTTTCTTTCCCTGCAAACCACTACTTGTTTCTATCAGCACCAAAGGTTGTATCAAGCATTTGTTAACCAAAGAATGACAGGGACTTGATTTAGGTAGGGTGGGTGAAAAAGGGAAAACCTGCTTCCTTCACTTAACTTCATGTATATTTATCAAATATTACATAAACAACTGCATTTTTCTTGTACATTTGTTTTGTCTGAGACATCTACCATGTAGCTAAGACTGGCTTTGATCTTGTGACCCACCCAAGGTTACAGGTATGCACTTCCATGCCTGGCTTAAATATGTACTTTCCGTACCAACCTTACATTATGCCTTCAATTGCTTATCCAAACTTGATGTCAAATAGAGTTAAGGCCTAAAGCCTAATAAGGAAAACAATTTCACAATGTGATTCTACTTCCTCCCAATGACGCATAAAAGATGAACTTGTGAACTTTTGGCTGGCCAAGGCCAATTAAGGGTCTCTGTGGTGGAGTAGACTGTATTCACAAATAATTCGGTTGAGAGGAATGCTTCCTTTCTGTGTAAGATGGACTGCTCTTGCTTCTGTCTTGCTGAAATGTAGGAAAGGGCTTGGGCACATCTTTTTTTTAGACCACATTTACTTCTGAGTAAAGACACTGGCTTCACAAATTGTCCATTTTAAAAGTTGGGGGAAATTATCAAGTTGCCTTCCAGAATGGAAGTGATCCTTGGTTAATTGTGTGATGCATTTGTGTGTTTTCAAGGGTATAGGTTCGGCTTTTTAGTTTCCTGTATGAGGCACTTCAGAGCCTCTTTTGGCCTTCCCACTTTTTTCCTCATGCCAGGAAGCTCCGGAAATGTCTCATTACTTATGGTAATTAATACACAATACTTCTGCATCTCATCTCCTCTACTCAGAAATACCCTCTTTCCCTTCTTTTGTTTTTTGAGGCTCTTCATTTTTCTTTCAGGATTGAGTTGGGAGCTCATCTTCAGCCTCTCAGTTGTGCAAGAGTGCCTGAATCAGTTAGAATTTCATCTCTTTTCTCATAAAACTCTTTGTAAGTCAAACTCTGTAAGTGAAGCAATTCTTTGATTTATAGTTGTATTCTTAATATTCAGCTGCCAGAGAAGATCTAGGGAACTTCGAAGTTTTAGATTCAACAGGTCTCTTTCTTCCATACCAAATTTATCATGCTCATCAGAGCAACATGAAGGCTGCTTACTTTGCCTTATGTAAGACGAACAGAGATACAATAAAGAACACTTGTGCCAAAATAATGCAACACCAAAAACGTACAAACTTAATACATGTTTAAATTAAGTTATACCTTTTGTGTGTGGTGCAACTTTTCTGTGAAAGCCTAAAAGTCATGATTCTTATTGAATGTGTAGTAAGACTCTTCTATTTCCTCATTTGCTGCCTGATCATACAAGTAGAGCAATCTGTGTAACCCTTTAAGGCTATTTAAATTATCATTTTAATTTTTTAATATTTAAAAATTGTCAGTCAGTAAAAGTAAAAAAGAACACATTAATAATAGTGATTCAAGAAGTGTGTGGAAAATATATGTCCCAGAGGAGTTTTCTATGAGTGTTTTACCTTAGGCTTCACGAACTTTAGTGACAAACAAAAACAAAAACCAAATCTGCCCCACCCTCCTTTCATGCAATTTGTTGTAAGTAGTTTTTGATAAAAAAACAACAAAAACAAAACATTTGGGTGTGGGGTTGATAACACTGGAACAGAAGCAATAAATTGTTCCTTGCCTATCTAGCTCACTGCCACACTTTGATCTCATTCATTATTCGAGTAAAGCACTTCTCCGAAATGTCCAAGGTAGCTCCACCCAGAGGTTTAGCCACATTTTATTCATGTTTTATAGCATTACGGCTTTTGCTCAAAGCACACTTCAATTCTGTTGGTACCTGCTACTATTCACTTTATCTTCAGATGGTCAGAAATGGGTTTCTGTTGACTACACTGGTCTGCAGACAGAACACATCAAACATTACAACTGGGCACGCTTCCCCATATCTCTATCATAGTGGCAATAGTTAACAAATGTGAGAACATAGTTATACAACTGCTGAAATCTGGCTAAGAAATGATTTTCTAATAAGAACAGCAAACTTGCAAACAATGAAAAACACCAGAAAGGAATTATTTTTGTGTAATAAAAAATATGACCTCCTTTAACAATCAATAACTCAAAATATAAGCATTATATAGATTGCATTTGCTAAGTACTTTCAGAATAGCATAGAAAATTTAATAGAACAGACAACTTTATTTTAAATAATGTTACTAATTCCGTCCATTAAGAACTTATCAGAAATTATGTCTTTATAGACATAATTTTATTTATAGAATAAACATCTTTTATTTACCAAGAAAAAGTAAGAACTTTTTGGACAAATGAAATAAATGCAAGTAAGGTTAACAATGCTCTACATTTTTTTACCTTATTTTTGTAAATTAAATTAAAATGAGTTCATCTGGTATGGCGCAAACACCGATTGGATTACTTTGGTGTTGTCTGAAACAAATAATGTTATTAAACAAAATTTGGAATTCTTGGTATTAATTTGGAAGCTAAATAAAAAAAATAAAAGGATTTTGGGGTCACAGAATTTACCATTTTTTCCCTTTGCTTATATGAAAATATGCAATAGAAAATTACCCACATGAAATCATTTATATTACTTTCCTTTATGTGTATGGCATTTTGCCTGCATGTAGGACTATGCACCCTGTGTGTGGTTGGTACCCACAGAGACATTGGATTTCCTGGGACTGGAGTTACAAAGCAGCCATGTGGTACTGGGAATCAAACCCAGGTCTCCTGGAAGAGCCAGTGCTTACTCACTGAGCTGTCTCACCAGCCCCTTAATGTTTTCTATAAAGTTCCATCCTAAACTTTAACAAAATGCTTAGTTAGCAATTAATTACTTCCATGCAGTATTAACACTTTGTCATTTTGGAAAAGAGGTAGTCTTATTTTGTATTTAAACATTTTAAAATATAAGAAGTACAATGTCACCTAGGGCATTGTATAAAACAGCATTCTTTAAACATTTTATTACATTCAGAATAATGCAATAATGTAAGGGGACCCTGCTTAGAACTTACTTGGTTTAAATTACTGTTCCAATGAACTATTTTAGTAAGTCTTAACTAATAATTGCAGAAATCAAAAATATAACATTTTATAATTTCTATTTTTGGAATAAAAGTTGTGCATGTTTTAAACACACTTACAGACTCTGTGTTCATTAGCAAGAACAGCCTAGCTACCTGTTATACAGGTTCCAACAAAGAAGTCAGGGTTAAATGGTCACTGAAATCAAACGAAACTTACTGGGTTATCCAAAGAACACCTCTGTTTTCTAGCCACCCCACTCTACCTTTTGCCTTGCACTGTTGACCTCACTAATCCCTGGGGCTCGCTTTATGAGAGCCAGGAACTACATGCTTGTCCAGTGTCCTTCATTGTCAAACCACCTCTCAGGCCTCCAAGAAACAGTTATGCAGGAGGCCTTCTATCTCTCAAAAGCAAGAGCCAGACCTCTGTAAAACAAAATATATTTGAAACTTTCCAGCTTTAAAGCATTCTGTATTAATTTAAAAGTAATACTCCTGATTCATTTTTATTTCAGACATAAAAAAGACATTTTTTTCTTTAAAAAAATACAATATTTTAAATATATGCCAAAATATAGGAATGGCACTTAGAAATTAAATAGCAAACAATTTCTTTCCTAGAAATGAAAGCATGTAATATGTTCTAGATTCAGAACTCTTTGAAGAAATTTTATTACATTAAAATTATACATAGGATTATGTAAGAAGAAAATGTTTTATGGGGTACTCAACTTGTAAAATTTTCTGTAGATTTGCATCTAATGCAACACCACTATTTTATTTGAATTGTGTAGGGAGGATTAACAGGGGTGGGTGGGTGTGTTGAGTGACTAACTTTGTGATCACTCTTCTTCAACTATAAAAGCAAATTAAGGGTATTACTCCTCTGTCACAGATGATTTCCTGGACTTCAGAACAAGATCCTTAACAGATAGAGACAGTTCCTGAAGCTCCTTCCGAGTAGTGTTGGTGACGTCATGCTGTTCCTTGTCTAACTCATCAGTTGACAGGTCCTCCCTTGGTCCACTCTTCTTATTTTGATTGACTAACTGCTTTACAACCAAACCTTGGTACTTTACCAGGAGAGAATGCTGGTCCTGCAAAAAGAAAGGAGAACCTGCACCAAGCACATTTGATTTTCTGACCAGACAGAGTAGACTTGTTTGAGCAGTACAAACTGGATGGACTTATCTTCATGAAACAGTGGGCATGCTAGTGAAAAGTGAGTATGGCAAGAAAGGTCTGTGCTCTCCAGAGTGCAGTTAACATGCAGATCAGGAAAAGTAAGCCTGTGCAGACTACGCCACAATTTAGCTAGGCTCTATCACCAAAAATAAAATAGTAATACTCTAAGAAGCCAAACTGCTTTTAGCTAGGGGCTGGCTTCCTTAGATGAACTCACAGGACATTTGAAGGGGTCCTTGGACACTAAGTCAAAACTAGGGAAACGAGAGAGAAGTTCTGACATTCTTGTATCTTTTCTGAAAACTTCTAAAATTAGAGGACTTTTCACCACGATCTTATAGAATGCTAAAAGATTCTTGAACTACACTCAATTTAAAAACAAAACAAAACAAAAATCAACACCTAACTCACTGTCCCCATTCCTGGATCCAGACAGATGTTAACGCCTCCCCCCAACCCGCAGCCCCCACCCCCAGTGTCGTCAATGATTC